GGAGACAGGAGACTCGCTTGAGCCCAGGAGTTGGAGGTTGCTGTGAGCTGTAATGCCACGGCACTCTACCCAGGGGGACAGCTTGAGGCTCAGTCTCAAAAAAAAAAAAAAAAAATAATATGTAGATTACAAACTCTCATAAAGAACATATTCAAAAAAGCACTTTTTTTTTTTTGAGATAGTCTTATTATGTCACCCTTGGTAGAGTGCCATAGCATCACAGATCACAGCAACGTACTCTTGGGCTTAAGTGATTCTCTTGCCTCAGCCTACCAAGTAGCTGAGACTACAGGTGTCCACCACAATGCCCTGCTATTTTTAGAGATGAGGTCTTGCTTTGGCTCAGGCTGCTCTCAAACCTGAGCTCTAGCAATCCATGCCCGGCTAAATGTTGTTATTGTTGTCATTGTTGTTTTTAGCAGGCCTGGGTTGGGTTTAAACCCGCCAGCACCAATGTATGGGGCTGGCGCCCTAAACACTGAGCAATGGGCACCAAGCTTCAAATAAGCATGTTTAACTTACTTGTCTGCAACCATATATTACCCCCTCCCTCAGATTTGTAACCTAGCCTCTAAACTAACAACTGTGCTTTCATTGACATTTAGCAAACAAAAAATTTGGCTGTTAAGATAGTCTAGTCTATACAAAATCAGATGTACATGAGTTTTAAAGATTTTTTTTTAAGAACTGTACACACTGACATTAAAACCTAATGTGCATATAAATCGCAAATTTACTACAAAGACTTACCAAACACACCACAGTGTATTTGTTTTGTGTAAGTAGTTACCTGATTTTTAGTAATCCTGATTGCTTTGCTGGGATCACTCTTACAATAGAAGCGAACATGATCAATAGGATTTTTGTCTTCCATTCCATAATCCATGTTGATAACCTTAATAAAGCAGTTAAATAATCATATAATAACCACGAGAACTGAACTCAGAGTTGTAAGGGTATCACAAGAAATGGAACAGAGCCTTTTGGAAAGCTTAGTGGGAAGAACACTGGCCAGGTAGCTCATAGAAGAATAAAAATAACTCTGGTGCATGACCACTCATAGGGTTTTGAAATCTGGGGGGACATGGGAATGTATCTGTGTTTCAACCTAAGTATGATCTAAAGTCAATACCTTAAGTGATAGACACTGATAGACACTAGAGGTATAACAAAGAAATTTCTGATACAATCTCAGCCCCCACAGACTACGTGGCCTAGACTGAGGTTAAACAAATAATTATAATTATAAAAATAATTACTTAACCACATTTGTTACAAGAGTTAGCAAGAAAAAGCAAAGGGTGCTTAGAAACTTTCTAGTAGCCTGGGGTGCCAAGGGAATGACTGGAAATGTTTTCTTGGGAAGGTGACTTTATTAAGTGAGCAGGAATTAAACAGGCGTATGTAGGAAGGAAAAGAACTCTAGGTAGAAGAAATAGGTACGAGGCAGAAAGGACTTAACCTGTTTGCTAGATTTAACAACATTGAAGTAATCAGTGATTTTAGAGAGAGTAATTTTGGTATAGTGATGGAAGCAGAAAAGGCGGCTTAGGAGACTCCAACCCTGTATAATCATTCCACAATACCACACCATGCTACTTCCCTACACTGACCACCTTAAGTTGACTTAATTTTCACAGACTGGAAAAGCACCACATGTACATATCAGTATGGCAGGCCTAGTTCCTTACGTTGCCCACCTCTGTATAATGACCAGTTTGTTACAGTCCTTTGTGTGGTCAACGTATAGAGGTGCTACTTCCCCCAACCCCCACTCCAAAATTGATTATCTCCTAGAATTCAAATTATTAGATCAATTTAGAATACACCGCTAATTTGGTCTCTTGTGTCAAATTTACATTTCCATTTTCAAATAGCTATATTAATATAGTATAATACTTTTTTTTTTTTTTAAAGAGTCTTACTTTGTCACCCTCAGTAGAGTGCCATGGTGTCACAGCTCACAGCAACCTCCAGCTCTTGGGCTTAGATAATTCTCTTGCCTCAGCCTCCCGAGTAGCTGGGACTACAGGGGCACGGCCACAATGCACGGCTATTTTTCTTCTTTTGTTGTTGCAGTTTGGCCCGGGCTGGGTTCGAACCCGTCACCCTTGGTATATGGGGCCGGTGCCCCACTCACTGAGCCACAGGTGCCACCCTATAATACTCTTTTGTTCTCATAAGTCTAATAGTAAAAAAAGAATGTTCATTGTGCATCAGTTTGTCTTTTTTTTTTTGAGACAGAGCCTCAAGCTGTCCCCCTGGGTAGAATGCTGTGGCATTACAGCTCACAGCAACCTCCAACTCCTGGGCTCAAGCGAGTCTCTTGCCTCCGCCTCCCAAGTAGCTGGGACCACAGGCGCCCGCCACAACGCCCGGCTATTTTTTGATTGCAGCCGTCATTATTGTTTGGCGGGTCCGGGCTGGGGATTCGAACCCGCCACCTTAGGTGTACGTGGCTGGCACCTTAGCCGGTTGAGCTATAGGCGCCGAGCCAGTTTGTCTTTTTTTGATACAAGAGTCTTACTTATTGCCCTCAGTAGAATGCCATGGCAACATAGCTTGCAGCAATCTCAAAGTCTTGGGCTCAAGCAATTCTCTTGCCTTAGCCTCCCGAGTAGCTGGAACTACAGGCACCCACCACAACACCTGGATGTTTTTAGAGACAAAGTCTCACTTTGGCTCAGGCTGATCTCAAACCCATAAGGTCAGGCAATCCACTTGCCTCAGTCTCCCAGAGTGCTGGGATTAAAGGCATGAGCCACTGTGCCTGGCCTTCATCAGTTTGCTTTTTTTTTTTTTGGCCAGGGCTGGGTTTGAACTCGCCATCTCTGGCATATGGTGCCAGCACCCTAATCCTTTGAGCCACAGGCGCTGCCCCTCATCAGTTTGTCTTAATGTGGTTACTGTTGCATGTCTGCTAGCCACATGTGTGTCTCTTATGTGTAGCCTCTTCAAGTACCTCTGATCTATGTCCACTGGGAGACTGCACTGTGGGAAGAAAGCCAGATGGGAGATTGAGGGATTAACCAGGATCAACCACTTCACTGAGGGTAAGGAAAAACATTTTGGGGAGTGAAGTTCTTTCAGAGTCTCAAGAAGCTGAGATAGGAGATCTCTTTATTCTAGTGAAACGTCATCTAACGAAACAAACTGCAGCTTCACCGGAAGATCTGAGGCATGTCAGTATCAACCACGTGAACAAGTGGTCGAAGGGAAATTCACTTGTATCTTTCAGCACATAATGGTTATGGAGAGATGCCCTTCAATCATGAATTTGTCAACAACAAAATAACAGGCTCAGCACCCGTGGCTCAAGTGGCTAAGGCACCAGCCATATACACCTAAGGTGGCGGATTCGAATCCAGCCCCGGCCCACCAAAACAACGATGGCTGCAACCAAAAAATAGCCGGGCGTTGTGGTGGGTGCCTGTGGTCCCAGCTACTTGGGAGGCAGAGGCAGGAGACTTGCTTGAGCCCAGGAGTTAGAGGTTGCTGTGAGCTGTGATGCCACAGCACTCTACCCAGGGGGATAGCTTGAGGAAAATACAAGGGAAACACACATTGTCCCAAGGTTTCAGAAGTAGAACTCTGGAAAGTATTTCCCACAGGAAAGGGAAACGTGACTTCTTTAATGAGGGGGTATTTTAGCTTTAAAACATTCTTCACTTAGTATACTACTGAATTAACTACTTACATCTACTATAAAATCTTCAGCCTTCAGTTCAGCTTCCAGTGATACTTTAGGTTTAGAGTCAGCAACCTCTTTTGGAAGACATTCATAGTTTTCCTGGAAAAGGTGAGACTCCCCATGTTAGAACCCCAGTTTCTCATCATTATTATTATTATTATTATTTTTTTTTTTTGGAGACAGAGCCTCAAGCTGTCCTCCTGGGTAGAGTGCCGTAGCATTACAGCTCACAGCAACCTCCAACTCCTGGGCTCAAGCGAGTCTCCTGCCTCCACCTCCC